GGAGAACCCGGAGAGAACCCACGCTGCACGGGGAGAACATGCAACATCCTGACCGGGACACGAACTGGAATCTTGTAGCTGCGAGGCCATCGTGAGCCCTGTTCTATAACTGACTTTTATATTTAGGAGGTATTAATCTACAGTCAGTGTGGTGCACTGTGCCGGACATCCTGTACACATGTACACACCTGTATTAGCTCATTGTTGGATGATTTGGGGCCAACAGAAACTATCTCTGTGTAATATGAAGCAAATATCACCCTATAAAGATAAACTAATAACCCAACAGTTACAGTTATTGACACATCCGGTTGCTATGGAGCAGTCAGCATCAGCAGTCATGCTTGTGTCCAGCTGTTAGCTCTGATTAGCTCCTGTCTGGTCTACAGCAACCCCTGAGACATCTGGCTTTGTAGCTGTCCAACACTCAAACAGTTTGCTAACCACAATCTGATCAGGAGCTGATATTAGGAGCTTTTTTTTTTTTTTTTTTTTTAAATGAAAAACTATTCATGTTGTGCCTGGAAAGTGTCAAGAGTTGAGCAGTTATGGGTAGAAAGATGCTAAAGCTCTCCGTGGATCTGAGAAGAACGACAGGATGTGACCTCTTCATGCACACAAAGGGCTTTAGTCTGTCATGGTTTTATGTCCATCATTCAGATCTTCTTCTTAGGCCTTTAAGAGACAGTGTGACAGTTTGAAATGTGATCATTCTCATTTCTAAAGTACAGTTATTATGGTGGAGAATAATTAAGTGACTCCAACAGTAAAACCCACTTTACTGGATTAAAATGTTCTTGAATGTCAGACTCCTGATGAACTAGAAACCTTGGACACCACCGGTCTGTATTCCAGGTTTATCTTTCCTTTTCTACAAATAGCTGAAACATTTATCTGACCTCGACACATCCTTCTGCTGCGCCTGTGATGTTTTCTTACAAATAAACAGATCTAGGAAGCACTGAGATAACTTTCTGTTGTGCTGTAGATCAGCGAGCTGCAGGGTTTGTGTGGACCTGCAGAGGGCGCTGTCAGTCCAGCCTCCTGTAACAGACTCCAGCTCAGCAGCCAGACACCACATCAGGAGCTGGAGGGACGGGAACAGGAGCTGGACACCCTCCAGAAGGACAGGTTAGAGCTGAGTGGGATCATACAAACGGTGCATGTTAGGATGAGGACATGGTTCAGTGAAATATCAGTGAATGCAGATATTTGTGACTGTAATTATGTGTGAGTGTCTTATGGAAGATAAGACTTTGGCATTTTAGGTGAACTCATTTACTTTACCAGACATGTGACACAATAGAGGAGAATAACACTGAATCAGAGACACCACTGTGAAGCTCATTAACCATTTAAATGTGTCTTACTTCAAGCATCACAACTTCTTGGAGGCAAAGTTTGCTTTCCTGCTTGGAAGGTGTCATTTCCACATCAGTGTGCCTAAACTGGGCATGTCTGACCATGTGAAGCTGTCACTGGTGATGCTATGTGTTGCTGTCCTCTGTGCCAGAGTGCAGGCTCAGACGGAGATCAGAAGACACCAGGCAGAAGTGGAGAAACTCCAGAGACTCCTGACCAGCACTCACTCGAAGAAGACCAGAGCTGTAAGGACTCTCTCATTCACACAGCGTATAGGAGCTATATGAGGATCCACAGCTTTGATGTTTGTAGATGAAAGTGTTCCTGTTTGGTCGTTATTCATATCAGACTCCTATATTCACAGTTTCCCTGGCAGTATACGGTGTTTTAGAGAAGATGATGGTGAAGGTTTAAAACATGGAAGGTCAGCGTGATTCATGGTTGGCAAGAGGCCTGGATGGTCACTTAGAAATCTGATTTTCTTTTTTCAGTCAGCAGTGACAGTACATGACATCAGACCTGTAAACACACGCAGCCAGTGAGAAATAATCAGGATGAAAACATCTGTACTGTGTCACATGCTCTGTAAGCCAGTCGGTCTGTTTGGATTCATGACAGAGAACATACAGAGCAGAACTTCAACTGGAACAATAAGGGCTCTAAAGGAGTCATGTGAAAGTTTCAGGAACACAATCATTAGTTTTTTATAAGAATTAAATGAGAGGATGAGCTCTGTTTGGTGTGCCGGACTCCTTCTAAAACCGCAGCGTGTTGTTTTCCCACTTCAGTTTTCCTGCAGGGTGAACAAACTCGTTATGACGTGTCAATTAATTAAATTAAGAGGTGTCAGTAAACAGATTGTGTTTTATTCTCATGGAGCTATGCTAACTGTTCACCTGTTTTGTTGCTAAACTAAGCCAGCCAGCTGCTAATTGTTGCTAACCTTTAGCAAGAAATTGAACACACATATTTCCCATCATGTTAAACTATTCCTGTGCATCGTGATTTAATGCTGAAGCCCCAAGAGGCCTTTGACAAAATCTGGTTTACAGACCTGTATTATTTCAGTCTTACTTATCGGGCTTGTATTTCAGAATCATTTTCTAATTAATTACAGCGTAACAATAGTGGAGGTGTGTAGGACTGTAGCCTCGGAGCACGAAGCTCAACGCTAAATAAAACCTGCAGGTTAATGTATGCTTTATGGAAACTTAGGGGGTGAACAGTGTCCCCCTGGTGGGTTCACAAAGTGTTCATGTTTTTAGAGGTGTGTGTATTCTCTGCCTGTGTGTGTGCAAATCGTCCAGTTGGAGTCCTTGCAGAAGGCCTTGGTTACAGCCAGAGGCGACAACAGGAGGCTGGCCCACAGTTTGGATCAGGCTGTGCTGACCAACAGCAGCTTACACAGGAAGCTGGAGCAGGCTCGAGACCAGTACCAGGCCTCCATCAGGCTGAGGTACAGCGTCGGAACAAACAGCCCATCGACACGCTGTTACAGGAACAGGACATCTTATACAGCATGTGTTCATGATGTTTTTGTGTGATGTCATCGTATGTTGCAGAGATGACGAGTTACGTGAAGCTCGGACAAAGATCAGCTGTTTGTCTGCAGATCTGAGCGCCATAAAGCACCAAAGCAGGGAAGACTATCAATCATCCATGAAGACACTGCATCGAGAAATATCAGAGGTACCAACTGGAGCAAATCGTTCATGTTGTTAAAGAAAATAATGACTGATTTCAGCTCTGAGTTCTGTGCAGGTCCAAAACATTCCCCTGCAAAGGATCACATCCTCCCACGTCTCCCAGTAAACAGCGTCTCAATCTCAAACGATTAGTGGAAAAACCTCCGAGTAGGACTTTAAAAGTTGCCCAAAAAATTCTAAGAGACTTACTGAAGTGTGTAAATATGTATGGATGTGCATAATCTCTGCTGAAAAGCCTCACCTCCGACTCCGCTGAGTGTCTTTGATGCACAGCACAAAACAACACAAACTGTCAAACTTCTCAGCACAAGTTTCTTTTTACCGCATCTCTGCTGTTCTCAAAACTAGTCGGCTAATGATTCATCTATGAAAGTAATAAAAAACTCACAAGCACTCTTCTGGAACATGATGCCACATGTTTACCTTTGTTCATCCCTGTTGTCTTCTCCAGCTAAAAACGACAGTTCAGGATTCATCAACCAGGTCCAGTGAACTGTCCAAGACCAATCAGGATCTGCACAGACGGGTGTCCGAGCTGCAGCAGCTGGTGTCCAAACAGAAAGCTGGTATCAGAGAGCAGAGGAGCACACATGGACAGGACAGCTCTCAGAAAGTGGAGGTAGCGTCACTGCACACAGAAACAAGTTGTAGAAGTGGCAGTTTTTATTCCTTCATCAGCTTCTGATCTGAAATAGGAACACATGGTGATGGCTTGTGTGGATACTGAGTGTGCTGTGCTCTCAGCAGAGGTCAGAAGAGAAGATGGGGAATCTGCCTGAGCAGGAGCAGAGCGACGGTGAGCTCCTGGTGGTCGGGCTGCTACCTGAACAGGTGAAATGTCTCGTTTCACATTGTGCTTTTCTCCCTTTATCCCTGCTGTCTTTATTTCTTACTGTTACTCTCCAGTCAGACGTGGGCTTCATCTTGACTTTCTTTGAGTTCAAGGTGAAGCTTCAGCTGTTTCTTTAAAAATAAATGATGCAGCTCTTTGAAGCCACTGAAACCTTGAGGCTTGTTAGAAAAAAGGTTAAGTAACGCAGGCATTTCAAAACAGTCATGAGGAACTCCTGATTTGATGTGTAGGAATAAGCCTTTAAGTACATCTTTATCTGTTTTTTTATACTAAATCCCTGCAGACCTTCAGAGAACTGTTGATCTTTAAAAGCACTGCTGGCTGAATGTTTGTTCCCTCTGATGTGCCCTTTGTAGGAGTGGAAGATATTTTCACTTGTTACTGATGTTTTCAGTCGAAGCTATCTGAGTCCAGATCTGCTGATAGTCAGAATCAACCTGAAGAACATTTTCTATTGATTTGTGTCGAGCATGTCGGCCTGCTTCACTTCCAACGGAGAGTTTGAGGGACTTCAGAACGTCGTCATTCCTTTAGGATTTTATAGGAAAACTGGAATTGATTTCATCCTTATTATAGTTTATTATATCATTTACTAGATTAATGTCCTGGTAGCGAGACATTGTGGGATTTCACATCATTGCAGATTAGCATCACAAAAAAATGAAAATGTTTTCAAACAAATATATAAAATGGGACTTAACGGTTTTTTCCTTCTCAGTGCAAACAAATGATCGCTTGCTGCTCGTTACTTTGACGCCTCCTTCTAAGCAGGAGTCACTTGAGAACTTTTATGCTTTTAAGTTTCATACTTTAGAACAATCTGCTATGAAATATTGGCCAGTTTATAAAGTCTGTCTCAAGTTATTTAACCTCTAAAAACTAAGAATCTCTGTGTGTCAACGCTACATAATTGGATGTTTTGGGGTTTTTTTCATGAAAATAAACCTATTCTGTCCTAAAATCCTTAGAATTTAACAAGAAGTAAAGCCCATGCTGTGCATTAATTCTTCTTTCCTTTGGAAAAGCCACCGTGTTTTGGTTTCAGATTGATTTTCACCGGTTTAACAGATAATCTTGTTGTATGACAGCCGGCTGGTTTGCACAGCTTGCTGATGCTGCACTGTGTCCTGTTGATTCCTGCTGGGTTTTGCAGGTTACAAGCAAACGGCAGGCAGAGCTGGAGAGGTGGACTTCTACCATCGAACGCTGGGAGGCCAAGAGAGAGCTGGCTCACACCGCTGGAGGGTCCACGCAGTGAGGACACAGCTGATAACACAAGCACACTGATAATAAGCAGCACATACAACACACACCTGATCACAAAGTGACAGGGATCCTTTGTATTTATTCAAACATTAAACAGCGACCAACAGAGAGGAAGAGATAGCAGCCACACGTGAACCAGCAGCCGTCACTCAGACATGTGTGTGTGTGATATCCTCCACATTTATCGATCAGAATTTAATGTCGGCCAAGATGGAAACATGCAAACTGTACAACCATAACCTCTGATATACGTCTCCTCTGTACAAAGACTCTCATGTTTTTGTACCAACAGGTTCTTTATACAAAAGTAGTTTTAAATAGCACTGTGTACAAATGTATGACTCTCCATCTACCATAGTTGCACTTCATTATGTACAGAGTGTTGGTTTGTGTAACTGTGAATGCATGATGTGAGGTCACGCTCTCACTTGATTCCCGGCTTGTCTCGGATCATTCAGAGTTCATCAGAAACACTGATCCACAGCTTCTAACTGACAGGACTCTCCCTTCAGCTTGTCCGTTGGGGTCGATTTGAGCCCGTGTGCTGAATTCCAGTCAGAAAAAACGCTCTCGTCTCCTCTCTTTGTCCATCTTTGACCGTTCTGTGTGTTTGTACTGTAGGCTGAATGTAGATCGAGCTCGGCGCTGCACTGTGCTACAAATCCTGAGAAAAAACATCCACCATGAGTCAAGCTTCTTTTTTTTTCTTTTTCTTTTTTTAAGTTGACAAATCTTAAAAACCGTACAAACACTCACAGTGACAAGAGACCAATGCAGGCAAACAAATACAACAGTCATGACGGCTCAACACTGACCATTGCTCTCTGCGGCCACAAGAGGGCAGCATTGTACAAATCAAAGTCCGAACCCAAACTGAGACGACACCAATGTTTTGGCAGGCACCAGGACGCTACTGATCCCAGTTCGTTTAAATGGGTCCTTGCCCAGTTTACATGTGCCCCTCTTTACTCTTCACATAAGCTGAAGTTTGTCTAGATGATGCTACGAAGGAAGCGAACATGTTGCTTAATTAAAAAACAAATCGCTTATGAATCCTATGCGTAATGTATGTGGAATATCTGCTAAATACAAAAATAGATGATCTGAAAGTAAATCAAACATAGAAAAATATATATAATCAAATCATATATGTACACAATCAATAGCCATGTAACCCATGCTTCGTTTGATTAGTACAGACAGTTATTAACAGACAATCGATGTATAAAGTCAAGAAATATAATGAGGATGAGACGATACGTTTCCTCCATGTGTCTGTCACAGGCATGAATGGGATTTCTCTGCATCGTCCTGTTGGCTCTGGCAAATATGGGATGTTGGAGAGGGAGGCGGCTCAGGGACACTGGTTGCTTTAAAGATGAAGTTAATCCCAGGTCAGCAGGCTGGACGGAGAGGTCACCAAACTGAGCACTTGTCCACAGGGTTCATGGGGGAACCCTTGGGACAGTGGAACACTCGGGCGAACTCGTCGAACTGGGAGACGCTGCCAATCACTCTGCAGGGGAAGGAAACGGAGAGAAACTAATGAGGAGACTGGAAACCGTTTGCTCACACAGGAACCACACAACCTCTTCACTGTGGCGAGCTTCAGCTTTCTAAACGGATGTCTTCGATTTGAATATTATTTTACAGCTGAGTTTCTAATCATTGTGCACGGATGTCTGAGAGGAATGACCTTGTGTGTGTGTTGTACCTGTAGTGCTCTGGTGCATGTTTGTCCGTTAGCAGCTGCAGGTAGATGGACTGAGATCTCCTCTTCATACACCAGTTCTGAAAACACAGTAATAACACACCGCTGACCAAAAGTGGACACAGTTTCACCCAAACAGGACGCCCTGCAGGACAAGGGATGATCTCGTTTCCAGAGCTGGAAATAAAGTCCGTTCACTCAACGACTGAGTTACTGGCACATAGAAAATGTTTGTTTTCTGCTATATTTCTGGTTGTTTCTAATACTGCTGCTGCACAACATTTCAGAGGGAAATATTGCGCTTTTTTACGGCACTGCATTTGTCTTAAGAGCTGTAATAGGTAATTTCAGAAGACGAATAAGCCAGTGGTTTTCAATCTTTTTAGCTGCTGTTTACAAAAAAACAAGCATTATCCCATTATGCCATTATCCAGATGTGAGTTGTTAGCAGTTATACCAACGAGTGGCTTCCTCTCTAAATGTCTCAGATGGTTTCATTAAAATACCCATTAAAGGCCAGAAGAGATAAAGTTATACAATACTTACAAAAACCCAGTACAAGCTGGTCTACCAGGCTGCTTATATAACAGAACAAAACCGCTTTTTTCCTTCTCACCACAATAATTGTGTCAGATGAGTTCCAGCTCGACTACCCACAACAACAACAAATGCTCGGTGTATAATCCATCTCAATGACTTCATAAGTTAGCCTTGGTGGTACAGTGGTGGGCTGCAGGTGTCTCGGTGGTTTGCACCGCCGCCTTAACTACAACAGGGGATTCTGCTTGTGGTGCTGAATGTTAGCAAGCTTTAGATTTGTTGCTTCAGTTTGTTGGCTTTGTGTCGCTGTTCTTCTCTGACGGCCACGTTTAGCAGCACTGGTCACTGCTCAGTAGAAGTTACTTTACTTTGTTATAAAGGAATATTTAGGGCTGCAGGTGGATCAGTGGTTAGCATCGTGGCCTCACAGCTAGAAGGTCGCCGGTTGGCGTCCCGGTGAGGACACCCGGGATCTTTCTGCGTGGAGTCTCCATGTTCTCCCCGTGCAGCGTGGGTTCTCTCCGGGTTCTCCGGCTTCCTCCCACAGTCCAGAAACATGCTGAGGTTAATTGGTGATTGTAAATTGTCCGTAGGTGTGAATGTGAGTGTGCTTGGTTGTCTGTCTCTAAGTGTAGCCCTGTGATAGACTGGTTACCTGTCCAGGTGAACCAGCTGGGATAGGCTCCGCCCCCCATGACCCTAGTGAGGATGAAGGTGTAGAGATGATGGATGGATGGACTTCATAATTTAATATGGAGTATTATGTCACTCAAGAGTCGTTCCTCTGCCAAACAGCTTGTGGTGATTCCACAGCACTCTGTTTGTTCATCACACTTCTGTGCTTTTACTGAAGTGATGTTTGATGCAACACATCAACCCCGACATAATGGATCAGAACATTTATTCCACCACTTGTTGCTCCATGATTGGCCAAAGTTGGTCATAAAGTATGACATATTTGCCACTAGTTGACCCTCATCGGGCCCGTTAATGAAACAACATGTGATCCAAACACTGGGCTTCTTCTTTGGAGGTAAAACGTTTGTGTAATTACGTGATCAGCTGCTGTTAGAAAATGAATCTGCATCGACGTCCCTCTCTGGTGTAAAAACTCATCTCTGTGTATTAAAGTTACATCCATCCATCATCTCTACACCTTCATCCTCACTAGGGTGGTGGGGGGGCGGAGCCTATCAGAGCTGACTCAGGGTGAAGGCAGGTTCACCTGGACAGGTCGTAAAAGTTACATATTTATGGTTATTTGTAATTAAAATAATCGTTTTACAGACATAAATCTACGTCATTGCTTCCTTGTGCAGATCAGTAAAGTCTCCACTTGTTTAACCTGCAGCCCCTCCCCCACACACTGCAGCTCAAGCACACCAGCTCACCAAAGACCCACACACTGTAAAACCACTGTATGCTACACAATGGCAAGGTGCAATATTGGACCAGAAACCGGTTCTGAAGAAGAATAGTGATGCAGAAAGCTCCACCGTGCAAGCTGACGGATTGTGTTTTTACGTTTGCCGTGTATGAAACCCCAGAAGTCTGACTTCATGTTTTTTCGACCGTCATCAGCGCAGGTTCACGGTGGAAACGCTCATCCATGGCGCCGACTGCTTATTCCACTCATGGAGAGTCTTCCAGCATATAAATACAGACACCACAGAAACAAGGATAAAAGCTAAATTTCACTGTGGAGGGTCTTTATTGAAGCGCTTCATCATTATATTTCGAGTCAGCAGTGCCACATCTCCTCCAGTTCAGTTCAAACCTGACTGCATGTTGTGCTTTTTGCTCTTTATTAATCTTCTACTCTAACAAAGTGAGTGTTTAAGTTTTGGGCTCAAGCACACCAGGACATTTTTCTGTCATTTTGTTGACACAACAATCAGAACTTTAAAAAAAAATGTTGATTGCAGCCAAATATTTGTTACAAACGAGACATTTAATAAGTTTGTCTGTCTGTGAGGCTGCTGCCTGCTGTGCTCACTTGTAGACTTGACCACATTCATTTTGGCTGACGTGGCCGACTTGCCCCAAGCTAGAAATGATGCTTTATATTCACCATGGACACACACATATGACATTTCAAATGAATGTACGCACGTATACACCATCTTCATATCACTTCCCTGTGGCAAGACTTTTAAAAAATGGGCTAAAACACTCCACGTTGCATTTTAAAGTGCGTCTAGATTTTGCCACTCTTACATTAAGCCATGAATTTCAATGAAACCATTGAATTTCAATGACAAGTCGTAATAGTTACAAGGAGCAGGGGAGGTCTAGTGCTTAGAGACACTGTATTGTCATCAACACGCTGCTTTTTTTGATCGCTCCAAATAGTTAATGCATCCATCCACTAATGTTGGGAATCATATACAACTCCTACCTGCCCTCTACGATCAGCCGCTCCAGCTGAGAGTGGCAGCTAAAAGGATTTAATATGTAAATGCAATGAAAGACAGTCGTGTGAATTGCATTGAGAGGCTTCTGTACCTGAGCGAAGGCAATGAAGAGCAGCTGTTCGTGAGTGTATTTGAGGCCTGGCAGAGGCCTCTCTGGACCGTGTTCCCTCACCCACTTCTGATATGCCTGAGGGCAGAGAGACAGGTGTGCAAGGAGGGAGTGATGACAGGCAGGAGATGCAAATCAAGTTATGATCCCTCAACTCGTGTCCAAAGAAGTGTATTTTCTTAAAGGTAGAATTGGATCTGACACCGAACAGGATACTTAATAAAACTGTCTGGCTTCCTTCAGCTTCATGATTGACTTCACTAACAGACATTATGGCTCCATGGATGCATTTGATATTATGATTTATTTAAACATATTTATTTACTGCCTTTGTACTTTTGCATCTGAATGCACAAACACTCTGGTGTAACTCAACATGGAGCTGAATTATGCAGCGCAGGTGTTCTGCTAAAACACACACGCACATAAACATACAAGTAAAGCTGTTTATCTTTTAACCTGATTCTGAAGCACTCCTGCTCTTTCCTTTAATGCAAATAATGCACAGAAGAATGTAGAGAGGGAGATTTCTGACCCGGAGCGGAGGGAGACTTTGTGTGCTGATAAGGGCAGATTCTGATATTTGGATTTTGCAAAGCCGCATGGCCAGAGTGTTTGAACAGTGATGGCATCAGGTGTTACTTACATAGTACGACAGCTTTAGGCCTCCCATGTCTGCTATGTTCTCCCCCAGAGTCAGACGACCGTTCACCTGGACACACAAGGGAAGCTTTTGAAACACTTAGAGCTCCTAACAGCTCTGCTCTCGTGTGCTTCATGGATGTACTTTAACTGGCACGTGATTTCAGCGCTACTGTAAAGTTCCTGTGTTGTTGTTTTTTTTTACCAATTATTTGCAGCCTACAGATCTTGTCCTAGGATGCAGCAATCTTAAAGAAAAATGTTAGCACTTGAGAACTGTGCTTATTCGCTCTCTGAACATCCTGTTAGATAATAAAATAAATACCACCCTTATATCTTGTTTTTATATCTCATATGTGTGCCTGGCTAGTTCTCGGTTAGCTGCAATGACTTCCCAGATTCGCAGCAGCTACCTGTTTCCCCTGCTTCTAGCCTGTAGACTAAAGCAATGGCCAGCCTTATATTTGCAATAGAAGAGTGGTATATGCATTCACACTGTGTTTAGAACCTTCCTGCCTTTCTAAACATAGATGGACATAGGGTCTGGCTTAGTAAAGTGAAGCAGGTCTGCATTCTCTCTAATGGCCAGCAGGGGGCAACTCCTCTGATTGCAAAATAAGTCTGTTTGTACAGAAGTCAGTGCCAAAAAGAGAACATTTTCACCTCATTTGCTACCTCAGTAAATAATTTCCTTACACGTTTATGGCCTTAATTGCTCGTTTCAAGAGATTGGGCATACAGCATGATGCACATTGAGTACATTATGGTCCCATTTAGAGTAAAACTGATGATATAGCAGAGTATGTTTTGGGAAAGGACTACGTTAGGAATGCTAGGTCGCTACTGTACTACTGTGTCCTCTGGAAGCCAAGGCATCCATCCATCATCCATCCATCATCCATCCATCATCCATCCATCATCCATCCATCCATCCATTCATCCATCATCCATCCATCCATCCATCCATCCATCCATCCATCATCCATCCATCCATCCATCCATCCATCCATCCATCCATCCATCCATCCATCCATCCATCATCCATCCATCATCCATCCATCATCCATCCATCCATCCATTCATCATCCATCCATCCATCCATCCATCCATCCATCCAT